ACTAAACTAGAAACCTTTTTCTCAGACAGCTTTGTAGGTAGGCTGATAAATCTTTTCTCTTTGGGTAAGATGCTTGTTTATGAGTGTGATTCTAATCTGTGGTTGTGTATTTAACTATTAACAGGACTAAGATTTTGGAGAGAAGACCTTTCAGTGTATTGAGAGTCTGTGTACCTAGTTTGAAGAGTTGTTGAAGCTTGAGGGTTTTTTGTCTTCAGAGCAAATGAAGAAAACCTCAGGTGTTCCCCCCAGCCCCCAGCATCTTATTCTTGATGATCATCACTTGACAGGAAGTCTGTTTGGCTTATTGCAACTCAGGGTCATAAAAATCTTGGGGTGAGAAGGCCTGTTTTCTGGTAGTAGTTCTGAGCAGTTGACTCTTTTCTTCTGGCACCATTTTTACCATGGCTGTGGTTCTCCAGGACGATACGTACTGACAGAGGCTGTGCTTCTTGCATCTTAAGGATGCCTTTGTAAAAGCTACTGCTCAGCGTAAATTTGATTTGTCCTCTGGTGCACAGAGATGTTGGACCTCTGTTTCAAAGGCTTGTAGATGTTCAAGGTTAGCAATGGATAAAATCCTGCAGAAGCTAAGCAGTTGATTAAATTTGTGATGATATGTTTGAGTGTATTTTGAGAATCAGATCCTCATTTATAGGGAACAGCAAGTCTTGTGTATAGTTTTTTCTTCTAAGTTTCCATGTTAAATGAATCTTGCTTCTGGAGAAGAAGTTGTGAAGAAAACCTGTAGTACAGTTGATAGAGCTTGCCTTTTTTTTTTTGTCTTTCCTAGTTGTTGCAATTTCCTGATACAGGCCAGAAGATCTTGGAAAATGTTACTGTACATGTTTCTTACCTCCACACTTCTGGAGTAATTATTACATGTGTATCATTGTATTATGAGAGACACGTGAATAGTCATTTTACTTGTGTCAAGAAGCAGGATTTCTATAGAAGTGTTGTCATCCCTTAGTATGACTGCAGTGCTCTGTGGTTAATTCCAGTTAGCATAGCACAGAAGAATATAAACTCTGTTTTAAAGAAAAGCTAGATCTTCTGTAATGTGTGTTTTGCTGGACGATGGTTAGAGACTACCTGTAGGGTGTGCAAGGCTGCAGGTGTAATTGAAAAAGACATGGTATGCTTCAGAAACCTGCCAGTTGCAGAGAAATTTAGTGTTACTTGGTTTCCTCTAGCTTTCTTAACTTCAGAGAAGATCTAATGGGACAAAGTTAATGTGATCTTGATGAGTTAAGCTTGCCACACATCTAAAACCATGTGTGTTTGATTAAAGCATAATGGTCATACCGAGTCCACCTCCTGTAATATTAGAGCCACTGTAAAATTTTGTCCTACACGCTTGAAGACCTGTTGGAGACTGATAACATGGTTCCTGCCAGAGAAAAAGATCAAGCCTACAGTTTCCTACTGTTAAAATAGCTTATGCCTGTTAAAATTGTGAGGTTTGGCACCAAAGGAAAAAAAATTGAACTTTATTACTTTCCTATTGCTTGTGCTGCCATGACACAGCAGAACATAAGGAGGTAAAATGATGGGGGAGGGATGATGAGTGGGGAAGGTACATAGGCCACAGAACAGTAAGGAAGACATGGCCTAATCACATCACTGTGCTTTTGGCAGAAGCTAAATATGTCCTTCTAGTGTCCCCTCTACCTGGCAGGTAGCTGTGAAGCAGTTGTCCTTTGAGGAGATGGGGTAGTTGGGCCTTACTGTCATTCATTAATGGTCTTGTTTCCTGTCTGTGGGATTCCCACCAGTTGTAGAAGCTGAAAGGAAAATGGTGAATGAACTGAAGCACTGTGTAGCATGACAAAGCCTGTGATTCCTGGATGTCTCATACTAGGCTCTCAGTCTATATTTAACACTTTCAGCTTTTATTTTTCTAACGTGTCGTAAGCAATCATAATGTGGTTAGGTAATGAAAAGATTTTAACCTTCCTTAAGTAGTTCAGGCTTTTGCTTCCACTTGATTATAGGAAAGCTGTATGTAGTAATTATTGTTTTAACCTCAGGTTTAGAAGTTGTTTTCAAAAGGTCTAAACTATAAATATAAATTAATTTCTATTTTGTGTTACTCTTCAGTGTAAGTAGCTCCTTGGCATGGGTAGATATGATTGCTCTGGGTATCCTCAGGATGACTTTTCTGTTACTTCTCCAGACACCTAATCTTTCTTTTGGCGGTTCCTCTTGGAACTTTGACTTGTTTCTCTAATAACAATACTCATACTTCTTTCCATCTATTCAAAGCTGGATTTAACTTTTTTGTTTAATTACTGGGTTACACTGTATTCAGTTGACAAATCAGTGGAACATTCTGTAATTCTTCAGTTTATGGTTACTGTGCTGAAAGCCAGGTTACATTTGCTCATGCTCTTCCCGCTATTCACTGCCTTCTCTGAAGCACTTTGAAGAGCATGCGTTCCTGTAGGACTGTACTGATGATTATTATCCACTGTGAAAAACATGCTTGCTGCTAAATCCTTTTTATCTATCTCTTAAAAAAAAAAAAACAACCCCAAACAAAAACCTACTGAACTATCTTTAAAGAATTTTTTTGGGACCCTTTTCAAATGCATTTGAAAAGAACATCCCATACTTCCTTTGCATACATGCTCAATGATGTGTTTGGAACACTCTCGTATAAAAGTGAGGAATAACTGTATGAAAGGAGGAGGGAGCCTATTGTCATAAGCTATCATTAGTGTATCAAACTATTGTATTAGCTATCAAACCATTCAACTGCTTCTGTTGAATGGTTTGAAAGCTGCTTTAGCTATGAGAATAATTGTCTGACCTTTTTCTTCTAGAAATGGTTGAATCGATGAAGAAAGTGGCTGGAATGGATGTGGAGTTGACAGTGGAAGAAAGGAACCTGCTTTCGGTTGCGTATAAAAACGTGATTGGAGCCAGAAGAGCTTCCTGGAGAATAATCAGCAGCATTGAACAGAAAGAAGAAAACAAAGGTGGAGAAGACAAATTAAAAATGATTCGGGAATATCGGCAAATGGTAAGATGCAGTCGGTGTTCTGCCGTAGTGCCGTTTAGTTAAGGTCCAGTTTTTTTACTCTTGCTATAAACTGCCCTGATGTTCTAGATTGCCTACAGTGTGGTTACCTGTAAGAAGGTGACAGTCTTGAAAGGGTGAAGTTTGCTCCTTGTCTGGGGAATAAATATACCTGGTGAAGGGGAGGGGTTGGATGTTTTTGTGTAACCACTCAAAAGGGCAGTAGACTCAAAGGAGGAAGGGAGGGCTTTTCCTTCAGTGCATCTACACGTCTGCTGAGAGTTTCAACTGTGCTGGCACTTTGTTTCTTTCCCTGTTTACTCAGGTGTGAGGCTGCATGTACTTAGGAGGCCTTATTCTTTCCCTTCCAACCTGATTTATTCCCAAGCAGCTCTTTTTGGAAAATTAACCATGTCAAAGGAGGTGTTTGACTGTTAAGCTTCTACTTCTGATAAAAGTTGCTTTGGATCATACAGACTTTGACACTTGGTGCTGTTTCAGTACTCTGTCCTACAGAGTTCAAAATATTAACACTGTTAGTTGAAATGCCAATGTGGAAGGACCTTCAGTGTTCTTGGCATAAAGACAGGTAGTGTAAAGCCAGATGGCCACTTTCTTTGACTCCTCTACCTTGTCTTTTATCGCTGTGATAGTTGTTTCATGTACATTGGCCTTGTTTTGTTACTTTTTCCCCTAGATGAGAACTTGGCAGGAGTTGCTGTAAATTAAGTGCTTAGGAGTTGGGTGACTGAAGAATACTTGCCTAGTTAGCCTTGTACGATTGAATTGGCAGGCCTATTATTAGCTCAGACAGCTCTGCATGCGTTGAAATGAGTGCTGAGAGGGATAGTATGGCTGCTCTGACAGCATCTGGCTCTTAAAATGTAGGGTTTTTTTTCTTTTGTCCCTAAGCTGGTCAGTTACACTGATAGCAAGCAGTTAAAGCAATCCATTTCAGATAAAGCACTCCGTGTTCCTGGGGATGGATGTCATGGTCATCTCAACTGTGAAACTTGCTTGTGGAATAACCTCTAGGGCCTTGCTATTTTCTCTCTCTTGAGAGAGGAAAAAATTGATGCACATAGCTTCATGCTGAGTCTAAGTCAGTCTGTGCAACTTTACCTAAAATGGAGAACTTGGAGCAAGCTTTGACTTTCATCGGTAAGGGCTAATGAAACCTTCAGCTGTTAGAACAGTGAGTTGTTCCCCTCCTCCCCTCTTCCTTAAATGATGGTTTAGCATGGAGCAGGCATGCTCCTGTACTGTGTAAATCCCACACATTTCTGCAGAGACTTAATCTCCATTATTTGAGGACAAGTGCCTCCACATGGTTCAGATCTTCACTTCCAACAGTGGAGTCTATTATATCACCTGGCACTGATTCATATACCACCAATGGAAATGATGTTGGCTTGGAAATCTTTTCTCAGGAATAGCTCTGGACTACTTTCTGTTGACTCATAGGGTTTCTGTTGCTCCATGGAATTGTTAAAGTTGTGAGTTTCTAATTTTATGCTGGCACGCTGATGGGATGAGGCTCTGCCAGTTACATACAGTCCCAAATACCATTTCTTGATGGTAAAATCTTTCTAACAGAGCATATAAAATAAGACAATAGCTATCTGATGATTGTTTAAATTTGCCTTATACTGGATGCTTCCAGAGGTTTTTTTGCACAATACTTTGTGGGTGGCTCTTGTCTTCTGCCACAGATCCTTTAACAGTGAAAAGCCTTTTTTCTTGTTTTTAAAAGGACTGTAAAAGAAGGTGGCGTTTCTCCCTTTGTAAAGAGAGCAAGTACCATGCAGAACAGACTGATGTGCAAGAAATCTATGTATCTGGTCCTTGAACTACCTATTGAGAGAGAAGAAAGGGAATAGCTATCACAGTTGCTGTGGAGAACTGTAGTGTAGTTCCATACTGGAGACAGAGTAGCTGTGTCTACTCAACTCCAGCTTGAATTTTCCAAGAGGCTTCTAAGTATTGCCTGTAGCTGAAGACCAGATCTTGTTTGTAGCTCCTGGGAGACTTACTATGAGTTAACATCTGCTATAAGGAGAGTTTTAATGGGTTTGACAAGATGGCATGGGAACAGTAAGGGCCCGAAGAACGTATTTCAGAGGTTTGGATGATGCTTCTCTCTGTTGCTGCTGGAACAGTAGCACAGCTGCCCTGTTCCTGACCTACCTCTGAAGAGGTAGGGTCCAGTGCAGGCACAGCAGAGCTCTGGTTATTATGTTTACCTTGTCAACTAATACCCATAATTGCAGCATTTTCTAGAGGAAGTTCAGTGTTGTTGGAAGACCCTTCCCAGGCCTGAAAGGCTTGGAAGAAGGGTGGGGGGGGAGAATTGTGTGTGGACTGACAGACCAAGTTTAAAGCACTAGGGAGTTGCAGAGGACTTGCATCTCTAGAAAAACACATCTCTTGCCTACCACCAGAACCTTGATCAGCTGCAGAGTGCTTCTCAAGTTGAAATGCAAGGTGTAGTTTGTGTGAAAGTAATGATTTGATGCATTTGGTCTGCATCAGTATTTATTGTAATTTAGCACATGGCTCTTACTAAAAATGGTTGGAGTTTGAGCTTATGAGTGTTCCAGCATGATTTGGGGTAGCAGTCAGGGTATGATGGTGGTGTTGGAGTTGGGCTGGGCTGGTTTTGTCTGAGGCTTACACTAGGCAATACTGAGTGATGATGGAAGATCCCAAGTTGTGCCTTTTACCCAAACCACTTAAGATAAATGTAGCAAAACACAGATAGCCACAGGGGAAAATGCCACTTACTCGCTTCATTTGTAGACAGGCTGCTGTTCTGGGTCCTTTGGCCTTTGGATACACAAAAGCAGAGCCCCTGGCTTTGTCATCCCACACTGCATCTCAGGAGATGAGAACACACGGTTGTTCTTCGTCCTTGAGAGGATGAAGTGGTGTATGTCTGCACGTAATGCAGTTCACTTCCTTGCGGTAAAACCAAATCCCTTCCCTAATAGCATAGGTCAAGTATTCACCTTCCTCTTACAGGTCTGTATTTGTGGCATACGAGAACATGTGTTTCTAGTGCCATGGTTTACAACCTGGGTTGTGTCCTGCAGCTGCAAGGCTCTCTTCTCCTTCCCATCTTCCTAGAAAGGTGAAGCTGTGAATTGGCATAAATGTGGGTGGTCTGGCTGGCTGTTTTGGCAGGGATAGTAGGAGGGAGGGAGCTTACAGGCTTCAGCATCTGTTTCCTACCATTCTACTTTCACTTTGCATCTCAGTTGTGAGGTGCAGCTATTTTGGGGGATACCTCTTAAAACAGGTCAAAGAACTAGTACAGGCTACCCTTCCCCTGGCTGCTTCTAATAAGTTTCTTTATTTAGATCACCGGGTGCTTTACAAGCTTTTGTATCTGCAGAGCTCAGAACGCAGCCCAGAATCTGATTAAGCCAGCACTATTGCTAAAATAAAGGGAAGCAGAGTGGATTGTGGGGGCTCGTGTGCACCCATCGGGGTGAGCAGTCCTTTCCTTGCCAGTCAGAGCGTGTAGTACCATAGGTCATATCCAGAGTGGGAATGGTGATAGACCCTAAATCTACCTTTTTTTTGGATTCTTAGTGTGGGCTCTTGTGCTGGTTTGTTGCCTTGCAAAGCTCGTTGAGCCACTTTGTCTAGAACAGATCCTTTTTGTAAAAGAGCTTTTAGGGTTTTGTTGTGGGTTGGTGTTTTTTTTGTTTTGCTCTTAATCAACTTGATTTGTATTCAATCTTTTTTAAACTAAGCTTGGTTAGGACATTTTACATTTCCCTGGACAGCAGCTGATCTCTGATAACTTGTGTGACTGATCCTTTAAGCAAAGCTGAAAAAGGTCTGTCTGAGATGAAAGAGAAGTTTGTACATGTATGGTTATTTAACAAAAGAAGATTAGAAACTGATTTAATTCTTTGCAGTTTTGCTGAAGATCTCTCTGCAAAAGAAGTCATTGAAAAAGAGGATCAAGAGGAAAGAAGTTTGCAGGAACTGACTGCTGGCCAAAGGTTTTATAGCTTTTGTAGCCCAAAAATATATGAAGTAGATTCTTCTCAAGTGACCATATTTCAGCAACTTCCTTAAGCATTTGTCCCATAACTTTATAACATTTAACTCTTCCTCTGACTGTTAGGGTGTTCTGACATTGTACATTAAATTTGCTGTAGATTAATTTCTCTAAAGGAACTTCTGCAAATCTATTTTAATTTTGTACAAATTGGTATGTGTATGTATGTGCCAGTTTAGTGTTTATTTTGGACCTATAATTTTAACAGCTTTTGGGGATAGATGTGGTTACAAACTCTAATAGCTTAAGAGTTATATGGTGATAAAAATATCAATGGCAAGAAAAATCCTTAATGAAAGAAAGAATGGGTGGGAGGATAGGAAGGGATAATGGACTAAGGCTGCTCTTGTGATCCAAGACATGCAGTTTCTGGTAGTTTTTTGTAACTGATGTCAATGGCTTTGCTTCAAAACCTCTACTTTATAATCCATAGAAGTACCTGGAGCCAGAGTTGTCTTCAGCTGTAGCTATGAAAGTTACTGCAAGATCGTGAAAGAGCAGCAGTAGGTTACTAGCTGCACTTAACCAAGCCCTCCTACTGTGAATGATGTGGGATGCTTAGAGCAAGTCTGGTTTTGGCAATGTTAGTGTCAAATGACAAGATTTAGATTTTTGGGGGTATGTTTAGTTTCTTTGCTTTCAAATGTGAAACTTTCTGTAGTAAAACCAAACCTCATAGGCCTTGCTTTATGTTCTAAATTAGAAAAAATGAAGGTGACCGTGTTTTCCACTTTTGACTGTTGAAATCCAATATCTCTTTTTAAATAAGGCTTTACATATTGGTTTTCTTTGGCCACAGATCTCACAGTTAGTGTTGATGATTTCTGCTTTTTCTCTGAGTTGCTGCGCTTTGCCTTTTTTTGCCTGCTTCAAGTCTGTATCTTCTGGAGTTTGTTTTCCATTTTTATCTGGCTGTTTTGTGTGTGTGGCACATCTTTATTCTGTTCTGATACTCCATGATTTTTGTCTTAAGGCTCTTCTGTTAGAGCTTTGCCTCTCAAGTAGTCACTAGAAACTTGTTCTGAAGGTTCCATTTAACTCCGGGGTGTAACAGAGTTTAGCTGATTTGTATTTATTACCTTCAAATTGTTCACTGTTACCATTTTCAGGGCAATATTCCAGGATCAAAAATGTAAGGAATTAGGAGTTGTGCAAGCCTTGCAGTATGGAATTGTATCCTGAGACAAACCTAATGCAACTGTCTTAACAAGATGTCTTCCAGGGCATTTATAATCCATTATTCAGTTATGCATTTCATCATACATCAGTCCTTGCCTCTTGTGTGCCAGCTAATTATGCAGAACTGTTTTGCTTAATGCACCTGTGGAGCAGCTGATTTTTTTTTTCTTTTTCTTCTATCCTCCCCTTCTTTGGATTTTTATAATGTTGGCTGTTTGATATTTGGATATTCTTGAAATATCTTAGTCTTATGTGCTAAACTCGCCTTCTCATCTCATTTTGTGTCTTTGTTTGTTTTAAATAGGTTGAGACTGAGCTGAAGTTAATCTGTTGTGACATTCTGGATGTACTGGACAAACACCTCATTCCAGCAGCTAACACTGGCGAGTCCAAGGTTTTCTATTACAAAATGTAAGTATCATCTTGTGAGGCAAGGACCTCTCTCTCACTGTATCTGAACTGGAGACAGAAATGAAGTAGCCATGTCTGTACGTGCTGCCCATTCAACCGCAGTAACTCCTTCTAGGACAAGGACAGTTCAGTCATCTCAATATCCATTTGGCTGTCTCTGAGGTGTTAGTGTCCGTGTGGTTTTTGGATGGATGTTATTGTTTTGAATAAAGTTGCGAGAACTTAACAAAAGCTGTTGTGCAGCTCTTACATGCAAGAAGCAACAGTTTTCTTTAATTGAGCTAATAATGTAGAAATTGCATTCCTGAACTGCTTCAGTATTCTCCTCATAAAGAGAAGAAAATTAGGTAATGGGTGGTAACTGTCATGTAGTGTCAACATCAAAAATTGCATTATGAAATGAAACTTGGCCTTGGATTATGTTGCTGTAGCACTAGTTTGATGCATATTTTGTACTTTCTGAAGTATAGTTTAAATTTTGAAATTATTGGAGAGTGTTTTTTCCCTTGTAGTTGACTTATCTGTGTCCTTCAGATCAAAAACTTGTGTAGTTTAGATGAGATCCCATTGTACAGACACAGTTTGGTAATGAATAAGGTAATGGATTTGGTGTACTGATGTGCCGCTGTCTAGATGGTAATTCAGCAGCATTGTCCTTCCTGTGTGAATGTATCAACACCAATTTCAGAACTAAGCTGTTAATTTAGTGGCTGGTGGGGAAATAAGGACGACTGACTACTTATGGTTTCTGTTTTCAGGAAGGGGGACTACCATAGGTATCTGGCTGAGTTCGCCACAGGAAATGACAGGAAGGAGGCTGCAGAGAACAGCTTGGTGGCTTACAAAGCTGCTAGTGATATTGCAATGACAGAACTCCCGCCAACACATCCGATCCGCTTAGGACTTGCGCTCAACTTCTCTGTATTCTACTATGAAATTCTTAATTCTCCTGATCGTGCCTGCAGGTAGGTGGTGGCTGGGAAGATGGGGAGGTTTTATGGGAATACCAAACAAGGCAGAAGTGGTTGCTACTTGGGTAACTGATCTTCCTGAGCAGGAACACTGGGCTGGCTTTCTTACCCATGCATCATGCCTTATCCTGCAAAAATGTGGGGATTTAACTTGCCTCTTTTGCTATTGTCTGTTATATATGGTAAGAGAGGTCATGTTAATAATTTCTGTGAACTGTGAGCATGTATAGAATGACAGTAGCTCATCTATCTGCAGGGGTTCAGTTCATATGTTCATAAAATTGAGGACTGAAGCAAATACCCTTTGTCTTCTGTTCCTTTTATTGCAGGTTATGTAATATACTTTCTTTTAAGCTTTAAGCAGACCTTGATCAGTTGTACCGCAAGATGTAGAAGTGTTTAATAAAACCAATGCTCTTGAGTTAAAAGATACTTAAAAAGATACTTGTGTTCTTAAGCACACAAAGTTTTGAAGATGAGAGATAATGGGATGAACATCTAAACACTGTTAAATGATACAAACATTTGTCACAAAAGCTATGGATGTCATATAGCCAAGCTAGAAGATCAGTGTTCTGAGGCACTGGTTTAACTTGTGTGCTTCTGGATTCTGTATGTTAAATCTGATGCATTCTGTGCTTACAGGTTGGCAAAAGCAGCTTTCGATGATGCTATTGCAGAACTGGATACACTGAGTGAAGAAAGCTATAAGGACTCTACACTTATCATGCAGTTGTTACGTGATAATCTGACACTATGGACTTCAGACATGCAGGGTGATGGTAAGTAACCTCTGCTTTAAAATGCTGCTGTCCTCTGACCTCTGCCCAGAAAACAGAGCATGGAAATGTAGATTGGTTTGGTGTTTTACTTCTGTCTTCCTTAATGATTGAACCTCCTGAACTTCAGTCCTTTCTTAACACTGGATACATTGATGGGGGTGACACTAGCTTCTTTAGAGAAGCTTTTCAGCTCTCACTTGAAGGAAGGAGGTGTGGAATTAGTAATATCATTATTTTTTTCTCTTTACCTGGTTTAGACATGTGTGATTATTTTAAAAGCAGTGACTTCTTAATTCAGCTTTTTTTTATTACAATTTATCATGTTCATCTATGGTTGTCATTCCAACCAGCTGTGAATTTCCAGTACAGGAGGAAGTATTGCAAATTATCTAGTTCCCCACCCCCCTTCCCC